TTCCTCTCTGTTCTCTACCTTATTTTTTTAAACAGTTTGCAACTGAACATAGATAACTCACTAATTCTGCCAGACAGACTGGCTAGCAAGCCCCCAGATAGTCTCCTGTTCCTGCCTCTCCAGCTACTGGAATTCCAGGCACAGACTGAAGAACGTGGTGCTTACCTACATGTTGGAGATCTGATCTCAGGCCCTCATATATGCGTGGCTAGCCCTTAACCCACAATGCCATGTCCTCAGCCCCAAATCACGCTTCTTAGAATCAGTTGAATTTTATTCCAAGACAAGGTCTCGTTAGGCAGCCCTAGCTGGCCTGACACTCACAGCGCACTACCTGCCTCTGCATCCCATAAGCTGGGATTGCAAGCATGTGCTATCATGTCCAACTGTAGGATGACAGTGTTAGCGTCACCATAGCCGAGGCATGGACACAGTATAATGTTCCTTTTCTTCTTCTTAAAATTATTTACTTGGAAGCCGGGCGTTGGTGGCACACGCCTTTAATCCCAGCACTCAGGAGGCAGAGGCAGGTGGATCTCTGTGAGTTCGAGGCCAGCCTGGTCTACAGAGTGAGTTCCAGGACAGCCTCCAAAACAATACAGAGAAACCCTGTCTCGAAAAACCAAAAAAAAATTATTTACTTGGGCCGAGCGGTGGTGGCGCATGCTTTTAATCCCAGCACTCGGGAGGCAGAGGCAGGTGGATCTCTGTGAGTTCGAGGCCAGGCTGGACCCACAACCTCCAAAAACAATACAGAGAAACCCTGTCTCGTAAAAACCAAAAAAAAATTATTTACTTGGTTTTTCAAGACAGAATTTCTCTGTGTAACAGTCCTTGTCCTGAAATTCACTGTGTAACCCACAGAGATCCACTTTCATCTGCTTCCCGAGTGCTGGGATTAAAGGTGTTGCCTCCACACCCGGCCTCCTCCTCCTTCTCCAGATTTACTTTACTTTATATATGTGGCTGTCTTGCCAGCGTGCTGTGTGTGCACTGTATGTGTGCCTGTTTTAGCCCCTGGAACTGGGGTTATGGATGGCCGTGAGTTACCTACCACGTGAGTGCTGGGAGTCGAACCTGGGTCCTCTGCAAGAGCAAGTGCTGCTATGCTAACCCACAACTGAGCCGTCTCTCAAGCTGCTTCTCTCTATTGTTCGGCCCTTTGCTTTCCTTTGAAGACGATTTGAATCGGTTATCCTTTGCTGAGCCTTCCATGAACCACATCTATGGCTCCTTGCAGTACATCATGTCATCTGAAGCGCCATTTCCTCCTGGGTAGTGGTGGTCCTGGCCTTCCTGTTCCCGCTGGTCTGCTGTCCTCGGGCCCCATGCAGGCCCTCCCTGTCTACCTCAGGGTTCCCCGTTTCCCTGGCCCTTGATTCTGCTGTCTCTCCGTTTACTCCCACAGCATGCCATCTAGCCATTTCAAAAGGATCCAGAGGGCTTCAGAGACTACAGGTGTGGAAATGACTTTGCACACTTGTACAGCACTTTGGTAAGATCAAAAATCTAGGAGGGAATTTTCTTTCAGGCCTTTTAAGGCCTCACTTATCAGCTTCTGGTGGTACTACTGTGTAACACCGTAGACCGCGTAGGCTTCTGATGCTCTGTACTACTGTGTAACACCGTAGACCGCGTAGGCTTCTGATGCTCTGTACTACTGTGTAACACCATAGACCGCGTAGGCTTCTGATGCTCTGTACTGTTCTGGTTTTTCTGTGTGTTGCTTCGCATCACACAGAAATTTAACAGACAGTTGTGAGCCACTGTGTGTGTACTGGGAACTGAGCCCAAGTGTTCTTAACCACTCATCTCTCCAGCTTCATTTTCAAAAAAAATTTAAGATCTTTTCCCTCTTGCCAGTGTTCTGAATTGTCAGCATAATATATTCTGCTAAGGCTGTTTCCTCTATGTCCGGGGACAGAGTGTGTGCATGTTTGTGTGTATGTCTGTTTTCTTTTCCTCATTTTATTAGCTGCAAGTTGATCCAACAGGAATGATCTCCGGCTTTCTCACAGCTTCCTAGTGTTTTATATCTTTGTGGTGGTGCTTCGCTTTCCATCCTGTATCAGTCAGTACTTGTGGTAGTGATGCTGTGTAACGAGTATCTCCAAATGAATTCTGAACGTAACGTTTCCCTGTTTCTTGGTCAGAAGGGGGTGGGTCGGATATCCTGTGTGTGGCTCTCCCTCTCAAAGGTCTTCTGTTCCTGCCTTTCTTGAGGTTGATGTGTAAACACAAGGGGCCTAGCATGTGGCCTCGTGTCTGTGTGTCAGGTGTAGAGCACATATGCCCTCAGCCAGGATCATCGGCAGAGCAGAAGCTACTCCACAAGAAGCACTGTGTTAGCACGGTGCCACAGGAGGGATGCAGTCCAGCCACACAAAGTAGGTTAAGACTAGGACCAGCTCTGGAGTAGCCTCCCACTGAGCGTCATCTTGCCAAGTCACACTTTGCACGTCCAAGGCCACCCTTGTCCTCTGGATGGCCCTGTCCACCGCTTCTGCTCTTATTTCACTCATTGCCTGTATCCTGCATCCAAGGACCACAGCGATAACAGAGACCTGGGGTCTCCCTCTTGTCCCTCAGCTCGCTGGTGGCTCTGCCCTGCTCTCACCTTGCACTGGTGACGCTGGTGGCTTTGCACGTGCAGGTGTTCAGATGGCCTTTGTTAGCAGGCCACTTTGCTGCGGCCTGGTCAAGTAGGCCATCTGGCTTTCAGTGGCTTCTCCTGTGGCCTGGGTTAGGGAAGACAGAGCAGTCTGGGCTGCAGGGTGGGACAAGGGGCAGTGCACTCCCAGGGCAGAGGTCTCCAGAGAGGAGTCAGAAACGTTGATTTTCTTTTGGGGCTGCCATCAGTTGGGGTTGCAGCAGCAAACTAGCTTAGGCAGCATAGAATGGCACCTCTCAGTTCTAGAGGCTAGCAGGTCAAGGTCAAGGCCCTTGCAGATTCACGTCTGGAGAGGGCCTGCTTCTTGGCTCACAGAAGTTGCCTGTCCCTGTGTGTTAATGCGTGGATCATGAGTGATCTCTGTGGGTCCCTTTCTGATGCACCGAGGACCTAACCCCTCCCCAGAGGCCTTCCTCCTGGTTTGGCACTGTGAAGGGGAACACCTTGGCCCGGGGTCTGGAGAGACACGCATCCTGAAGTCTGGCTTCTGAGGGTTGCAGGGGGACCTGTAGGGAGCCCTTCTTGGCTTACAGACCATTATCTCCTGTGTTTGTCTCTTCTTCTCCCGTATATGTCTCTGAGTCTTTTTTTTTTTTTGCCATCAAAGCTACATACATACGTGTGTGGGGGTTCTAGGAATGAACCCAAGGTTGTGCACATGCTAAGCATGTTCAAGCGTGTGTTCTGTCATGGAGTCTACCCGGCCTCTTGCTGAGTATGTTCTCATTGTTGTGAAACAGATTTCCAGGGCTTTCCACTCTCTGAATCTGCATTATCTCCATTAAGCATCTCCCTTTCCAACCCAGCCACGCCATTCCCCCTTCTGTCTCAGCGAGTTTGAGTTTGGCAATTCCTGGACCAGCAGGATCGCAGAAGCTGTGCAACATGTGCTTTGGTGGCTACTGTTTAACATTCACCCACACAACAGCACGTGTCATATGTCCTTTCTCTTTGCAATTTTTAAAAATGCACGCGCCTGTGTGTATATATGTGAATCTATGTGCGCCGTGTGCCTGCAGGTGCCCACAGAGGCTGAAAGACTGTCAGATCTCCCCAAATTGGCATTACAGGTGGTTGTGAGCTGCCTGATGTGACTGCTGGGAACTGAACCCAGGTCCTCCGCAAGAGCAGAATGCACTCTTAACTGCCACGCCATCTGTCCAGCCCCGGGTACCCTCCCTTTTTTTCCTTCTTTTCTAGGGTGGGCAGCGCTCCATTGCCTGGGTGGATCCACCCGTCTGCCGGCTCTTGAATCACCTCATGTTTTAACTCAGTGAAAGATCCTGTGGTGGACATGTGTGTACACACCCCTTCCCAAGTCCTGGCTTTAAGTTCTTCTGGGTCTGTACCCAGAAACGGAACCATTGGGTGTTGTGAATTAATTCTTTCAGGGTTTTTTGAGTAAGGGGGGACCCATCACTTGGAATGGTCTCATCCCTACTGTTAGCCCTCTATCTCTATCCAGAAGGTAGCCGGGTGTGCCCCCTAAATGGGCAGTCTGGAGGGACTTCCACGGACCACCCACCTGGGCAGGGGCATCCTGTGGCTGTCATACGTGGGCCTTACCCACAAGTCTATGCCAGCTTTCTTACAAGTCATCAGCTTCTGATCTCCTGCATGGCGCTTGCTGACAGCTCTCTTCAGCGCATGCCTGTTTTTAAAATTTTTGTTCACCGCACAGGTCCCGGTTCATGACCACTGCTTTCCTAGCCCCATTACTGAGCAGCTGCCTGAGGAGGTGGCGAGATCCCTGCCACGGCCAGTTCCTCCAGTGGGGGGTTCATGTCCTGGACCATTTGGGACCCATGGGTTTGGAGTGTTAATTTTCCTCCTAAGTCTCTTTATAGATATTTTATATTTTTGTTAGTTTTGGTAATCGAACCCAGCCTTTAGCATCACTTTATAAGCCTCTCAGGGATGCCTGGGGTTGATCTTTAAGACCCAGTTTTTGGGGGGCACACAGCAGACTAGCTTTGTTATGCTTCTGACCCAACCCCACCCTCCACCTTGGAGTATTTGCCAGCACCGCTGTAAGGCCTGCACAGATGCGGCGGTAACCATGAACACCTCATGGGGTGCACGCAGTGCTCAGGTATGCCGATGTGGGAGTGTTCTGCATAGGACCCTGTGAGACGGTACTACTGTCTTCCCCACCAGGAGCTTGTTCTGAAGCAGAGGGAGAGAATCAGGCCAGCCTGGGCTTTGTAGTGACTGAGACCCTGTCTCAGAATAAACAAATAGGGGCTGTAGACATGGCTCCCTTGGTAAAGTGCTTGCCACACAGATGTGGACCTGAGTTTGCAGGTGACCATGCGCTCTATCCCCACAGGTGTGTGAGCCTCCCGAGCGCCGGCGCCTGGGTAGCCGCTGGAATGTCAGCATCGACGAGCGCAGGCGCCTGGCCATGCTGCATGCACAGGACAGGACAAACACGCCCAGGGTCCCATCTAGAGACATGCTGGGCCTGCACCTCCCTGGCTGGCCAACTGTACCCTCCCCACTGACCGGGCCTGCCCCAGCCTCTCCCAACCAGGTCCCCGAAGCCATGGTTGGTCCCCCGCAGGACATTGTGCAGATGGTGGCCGAGCTGGTGGCCGAGGGTGTGGACAGAGATGTACTCCTGCCTCACCCGGTGCATTCCTCCATGTACCCCAGCGCCTTCCAGAACCTCGTGGCTCAGAGCACTCCCCTCTGGCAGAACGAGAACTTTGAGCCCCATACCTCGAAGTCACCCCGTTTCTAAGAAGGATCCCTGTTTAGCCCAATGTGGTCCAGTGCCTTTCTTTATGGTGGGGCATGACTTCCTGTGTGCTCTCTGTGACCCACTCATAGAGGACAGACAGATCAGGTCAAAGGTCTCAGAACTCAGGAGCGCTGCCCCTCCTGGGAACCTGGTTGGGAACTACGGGGGAGTCAGGGGTGAACGTCTAGAAGAGCCCCTGCTCTGCGGGGCGTAATGGTGAGCAGCACTTGTGGGTCTCTGAGGAGTCTCGATCGCCACACGGGTCCAGGTTCATGACCACTGCTTTCCTAGCTCCATTACCGAGCAGCTGCCTGAGGAGGTGGCGAGATCCCTGCCACGGCCAGTTCCTCCAGTGGGGGGTTCATGTCATGGACCATTTGGGACCCATGGGATGTGTGACCTGGGAGATGCTATGATGAGACTGTGGTTGGGACAGCTCAGGGAGAGGGACCTAGTGAGGTTCTAGACACAGGCAGGCTTCCAGGTCATTCCTAACGGTGACCTTGGAGTCGGACAAGGCTAGGAAGGTAGTATGCGTGCACCTTGCAGTCGGTGTGTGGTAAGACAAGGAGCCCTGGGTCTTCAGTTACTTCTCACTTTGTCTTGAGGTTGGGGTTCCTGCAGAAAGTTCAGGTGGTAACACACACCTCATTTGGGGATGCAGAAAAAGGGTGGTAACCCCAGTCTGTCCCAGTGGCTATAGGGGGCATCACAACTCAGAGACTGGTTGAAGTGGCCTGGGCTTCTGTGCGGGTGGGGCTGGGCCCAGGGGATTCTGCCTCAAGAGAAAGCGATAGGTCTTAGGTTCAAGTGAGGGCACGAGTCAGAATTGTGCCCTGGACCTTGAGGGAATCAGCCTTGTTGTGCAGCACCAGCTGTCCCTTCCCAGAATCCATTGCTTCCCCCAGACTTACCTGTGGGTGACACTGGGTCCCTGGCTGACTTGAATTCTCTGCCCTTGCTTCCCTCCCTTCCTAAGGCTCAGTGAAACTGGTCCTCCTCCAGCAAGTCTGCCTTCATCACTCTAGTGGGCATCAATGCCCAGTTGTCCCTTGATGCAATTTCTGTCCATCCTAGAGGCCTCTACATTTTTCAGGGTACAGGGGTTGAAGGGAGGCAGGGCTTGGTGCCACAAGGCCTAGGGCAGGGGCAGTCCTAAAGAGTCTGGACAGGGCCCTGGGCACCTCGTGACCCTTCCACCTGCTCAGTTTAAAGCTGCCTTAGAGCTGGATAGCAGGGTCCTCCTAATGTGAGCGGAAGTCAAAGGTCACCACACGAGGGCCTTGCGCCGTGTGCATTCATCTCTGAAGTGCTGCATACTCACTTTCCCTCACGGCTGAGCGTCGGCAGGGCTTCTGCTGGCTCTGTGCACCTCCTGGGCACCTCCTGAGTCTGCAGCCAGATGAATTCTAGGATGCTCGGCTCCTCTTAGAATCTTCCCCATCAAGCCGGGTTGTGGTGGTGCACGCCTTTAATCCCATCTAATCCCAGCACTTGGGAGGCAGAACTTGTGAGTTCAAGTAGCCTGGTCTACAAGAGCTAGTTCCAGGACAGCCTCCAAAGCCACAGAGAAACCTTGTCTTGAACCCCCCCAAAAAAGAATCTTCCCCATCACAGCAACTCAAGGCAAATCATTTAGAGTATCAGGGATGAGTCCCAGAGCTGCCCCTCCCCCTCACTGGCCACCAGCGATAGTTGATGCGGCTGGTGGGTTCAGCAGGGAATGGAGCCTGGTGTTGGAATTGTTAGCAGTGCCTCTGAGAGCACTGTTGCCCAGATACTGGGGCAGTGCATCGTTTCTAACGACTTCTGCGACTAATTGTCACAAGTTTAGTGTTTTCAGAGAACACGGGTTCCTTACGATCTGTGGCAGTCCACAGAGGGTCTCACTACACTAAGGCTGGAGATGTAGGCAGAGCTGTGCTCCTCCTGAGGCTCCGGGCAGGAACTGCAGCTCACCTTTCTCAGCTGCCCTGGGTGAGCGGGACAGCAGCGCTGGCTCTGTGCTTTCCCCTCTTCCTCTTCTCTTCCTCTCTTCCTCTTCCCTCCTCCTTCCTCCTCTTCCAGCTCCTGTGGTTAAGGACCCTTACCACTATTCTGGGACCACCCGGATGACCTGGGAGATCTCCCGGGTTTTAAGGGCAGACTTGGTAAATTTGATTTCCTTTACACATCAGCACATTCACAGCATCCCCCTTTTGGGAGGGGACTTCTCCAGGGGCAGAGGGCTAGGTGCTGCTCTGGTGTATAGGACAGCGCCCCTCAAACACGTGACCCGGCTCCATGTCCGGGGTGCTCACTTGGGACGGAGAAGGGTATAAGGTGGGGAGCTTGAGGAGGCTGGGGTGAGTAGGGGTTCACAGAGACAGGGTGGCTCATCCTAAAAGGGTCAGAAAGGTCTGGGGGAGGGTCCCTAGCACCTTAGTCAAGGGGAGGCAGGTCAGGTTGGGAGACACCCCAAAGGGGGAGGCTCAGGTTTTCTTGAGCTAGCTGGACATTGAGCACCCACTGTCCCAGGTGGACACTCTGTCTCTGAATGGGTTGCAGAGGACATTGTGTTTTAGGGTTTCTGTTGCTGTGACAAAACACCATGAGCAAAAAAATAAAAAATAATAAAAAGTTTGGGAGGCAAAGGGTTTACACTTCCACATCGCTGTTCATCACTAAAGGAGTCAGGACAGGAACTCAAACAGGGCAGGAACCTGGAGGCGTGGAAGGGCTCTGCTTACTGCTGGCTCCTCGAGGCTCCCTTAGCCAGCCTCCTTATAGAATCCAGGACCAGCAGCCCACAGGTGGCCCCACCCACCGTGGGCTGGGCCCTTCGCCATTGATCACTAATTAGGAAAATGCCTTACAGCTGGCACTCACTCAAGCGGTTCCTCAGCGGAGGCTCCTTCCTCTCTGGTGACTCTAGCTTGTTCACGCTGACACACAAGCACAGCCGGTCCGCTCTGGATACCTGGAACAGAGAGAGGCTTCCGGCAGCTGACTCTTGCAGCGCCGGGCTGCTGGGGCACCTAGGAGATGTCGTTCGCAGCTGTCTGTGCACGCCACTACATAGGAGACTAATTCATGGGCTTTGTAAAAACACTTGCTCAAAACTAACCACGCATTTTCTTTAAGGCAGCCTGATTGCTAAAGTGAGGACTGTTCACATCAGGTAGAGGTCATCCCAGCTATGACTGCGACATCTGTGGGGATGAAATGATGGGAATTCTAAAGCACCGAGCTGCTGCTTACACTTTTAAAAAAATTACGCTAAGGAGAGAAAAGTAAAACTATTTAAGATGGAAAAACCCAATGACAAGATGGTATAATGCCAGGTGTGGTGATGCCTGCCTATAATCTGAAAACTCAAGACGACAGCAGGAAGAGGGATACAAATCTGAGACTAACCTGGGCTGTCCAGTGAGAACTTGTCTCAAAAAAAAAAAAAGGATGGCTGTTTTTAGGAAGTGTAAATTGTTTTTAGGAAGTATAAATGCATTGAGGGATGAGTACCACTTTTTTTTCAGTGCAGACAACACTGGTTTTTGGTTGGGTATTGAATGCCATGGGACTTCCCCACTCTGCCCTGGCCTTCCTCAGTCAACCCATGCAAGCAAGACGACTGTATTTACCTTCCATTCCAACTCCCCTGCCCTTGTCCCGCCCTCCCGTGACCAGCTTCCCTCCAGAACTTGGGCCATTTGCATTCTTTGGTTTATATTTTTTTAATTGGCGGAGATTGAGGTCAGCTCCTATGTTTTATTCCTTCCATACTCTGTGTCCAAGTGCCTGCATGTGTGTGCACCATGAACTGGAGTGCCCAAGGCAGCCAGAAGAGAGCATCAGATCCCCGGAAACCGGAGTTGCAGAAAGTTGTAGAATATCACATGGGTGCTGGGAACTGATCCACAGTCTCCTGAAAGAGCTGCAAGTGCTGAGCCATCTCTCCAGGCCCCCAAAGTGATTATTATTATTATTGTTATTATTCTATTTTATTGGCTTTTTGAGGCAAGGTTTCTCTGTGTAGCCCTGGATGTCCCGGAACTGGCTCTGTAGACCAGGCTGGCCTAGAACTCACAGAGATCCACCTGCCTCTGCCTTCCAAGTGCTGGGATCAGAGGTGGTTGACTAAGTTTTTATTTTTAGTTTGTTTCTTTTAGATATGGTCTCATGTAACCCAGGCTGGCCTTAAACTATGTGGCTTGTCTTCTGCCCTGCCTCTACCTCTTAAGGGCTGGGATTACAGCTGTGTATCACCATACCTGGTCAATTGTTTTTTTTTTCCTTTTTGATGTTATAATTCCATCATTTCCTCCTCTCCTCTCTTTTCTCCAAACCCTCTCATATCCTACCTTGCTTTCTCTCAAATTCATGACTTCTTTTTGCATCGATTATTGTTACATGCATATATGTATGTACACACACACACACAAATTATAACCTGCTCAGTCTGTACAACGTGACTAGTGTGTATGTTTTCAGGGCTGTCCATTTGGTATTGGATAACCAGTTGGTGTGTCCTCCCTGGGGAGGAGCATTCCTCAGTTGCCTTTAGTTCTTTGTGTGGAGTTGAGACCCTCCTGGTCTTTCCCCTGCCCACTTTGGTCACTGGAATTTTGAAAGAGCTTTTTCCTCTCCCTGTATGTCTGGAAAGCGTTCTTGATGGCCTTATATATGCAAGAAAATCTGTCTGGGTAAAAACTGTGGGTTATATTTTCTTCTCAAGAGCTGTTTCTCTAAGCTTTGAGTGCTGCTAGGGAAAAAAAAGGTCAATTTTCTATTTTTGTGGGGGAGGAGGAAGGACGAAAGGGCTTATTTTAGCTTACAGTCCATCATCAAAGAAAGCCAGGACAGGAACTCAAAACAGGAACCTGGAGGCAGGAGCTGAACCAGAGGCTGTGGAGGATGCTGCTCACTGATTTGCTCTATGGCTGGCTCAGTCTGCTTCCTTGTATACCCAGGACCACTTCCTGGAGTGGCCTACAGGCCAGTCTAATGGCGCAATTCCTCAGGGGAAGTTCTTCCCAG